AGTCAGAATAATAAATTCGGGTCAAGAGGGTAAAATTGAGAGTTCGGTAAAATTGAGGGTTCACTTAACTTTTTCGATGACATCATCAATTTCCGTCCAAAAATTGGATGGAGGGACCAAAAGAGAAAGCGTATACATCTAATAGGGGATGTATGGGCAACTTTTTGGCTAGGAGGGGGTGAGTGTGCAATTTCACTATCTAGGAGTAGGTCTAAGTGAAATTAAACCCTTTTTCTTTTCTTTTTTCAACATTTGTTCATTTGATATTTTCATTAAGAGATTAAATTCTGAGAGGATTAGCCGATATTTAATATAAATTGGATTCCACTAATTTTTTGACATGTGGCAACACTCTTAAGTCTTAACTCTTAATAAATCACGCAGATTATAATTATAGTTAGAGAGGTTACGGGTTATCCAGGGTGTTTTTTTTTTTTCCAATTATTAGAATCCTAATTATATTTTTATTTAGAGCAACTCCAACCCACAAATATCAAAATTAATTATCAAATATTTATTTGATATTTTATAGTGTAGTTTGATACCTAAATAAATTTATTAGCTCCAACCGTAGTTAGTTCCTAATTAAAAATAAATAATGTGATTATATATTTTTAATTAACACATGTCATTTTCTAATTGTTTATTTAGGTGGTTAAGTTGTGTAACTTCCAATTGGTATTATTTCTTCTGGATGTATATTTACATCCCAAAAATTAAAATATCAAAATAGAAACTCATTTGATAACTTCATTGGAGTGGAAAATTTCTAACTTGAATTATCAAAATAGTAGTTAAGGGTTTTGATACCCCATTTAATAACTCCATTGGAGTTGCGCAATGCTCTTAAACTATCCTCGTGTCAATCATCCTATGGCATCCGATTTTCCTATTAAAACAGCCCATCCAGTCTAAATTTGCACCCTTTCATTTAATTTTTGAAACCGAATAAATTTCACAGACGTGATTTGAAATTTGCAATCAAACTTGCACAACCGCCAACTATTAGAGTTCCACATTCATCCCGCCGCCACAAAACCACCGTTGCCCCAAACCACCGCCACAAGCCATATTCATACTCAATACACCGTGGTAATTAACCAACCGTCTCTTTGCTCACTACTTTTTCATTGTCGTTTAATTTCTAGTTTGTTTATGGAGAGTTCTTGGTTTATTTATCTAATTTCTTTGTGTGTAATTGTGTTTCTTGGTTGAGCTTAGAGATTTTGCTTTGGCTAACTTGGTTGATTTTGTTTTGGCTAATTTTTACTAAAACAAGCATTTTCGTTCTAGTGAACCAAGCAATTTTTATGATATACATAATTGTTATGGATGATTTCTGGATTAAATAAGAGGTTTTTGATATGCTGTCTAGTAATGGAAGTGTTTGTTTGGATGAATTTTTAGAGACGTGCAATTAGGATATATATATACACATATATACATACTAGTACTTCACCCGTGCGTTGCACGGAAGTCAATCTCAAAATGAGTAAAATAATAATATGTAAATGAGTATCTCTTTATAACAACATCAATTCAAGTAAAATGAAATAGAAGGAAGTAAAAAAAAAACATAAATTTTATCTCTTAATTCAGAGTTGTAAAATATGAAATTCAATTAAATATTACAAAGTAGGAAACGGGAAGCAAGCAAAAAAACGATATGAAGATTAAGTGAAATCATTTTAAACATATGGTATAACTCCACATTGAATGCAATCTACTGCACCATGTAAATCTTCTGCAAAATAACTAATTTAACAACAAACACAGTAGTAGAGAAGTAACACAATAGATATTCAAATAACCAGCAAGTTTATCATTAACGATCTTCAATTAGTATGCACATTACTCGAATAACAATACAACTTATAAATATTGCAAAAGAGATAAGATGTATATGCCACTACCAATACTCATACTAATGTTGTTACCAATACCGATACCGATATTGATACTAATATTGATATCACTATTCATACCACTACTGATACTAATAATGATACTAAGAGTAATAGTACTAATACTAATACTAATGCCAATACTAATACTAATAATAATACTAATACTAATACTAATACTAACACTAACACTAATATTAATACCAATTATAATATTAATAATAATAATAGTGATATTGATATTTATACTGATATTGATATTGATACTCATATTAATATTAATATTAATATTATACTAATAATAATACTGATACTGATATTGATACTGATACTGATACTGATACTGATACTGATACTGATGTTGATACTGATAATGATACTGAAACTGATATGTATACCGATACAAATACTGATACCGATACTGATACTGATACCGATATTAATACTAATACTAATACTAATACTAATACTAATACTAATACTAATACTAATACTAATACTAATACTAATACTAATACTAATACTAATACTGATACCGATACTGATACTGATATTGATACTGATAGTAATACTAATACTAATACTAATACTAATGCTAATACTAATACTAATACTAATAATAATACTAATACTAATACTAATAATAATACTAATAGTAATACTAATACTAATACTAATACTAATTAATACTAATACTGATACTAATATTAATACTAATACTAATAATAAAACTAATACTAATACAAATACTAATATAATTAATACTAATATTAATACTAATACAAATATTAATACTAATACTAATACTAATACTTATATTAATACTAATACTAATAGTTATATTAATGCTATTATTAATACTAATATTAATATTAATACTAATACTATTACTAATACTAATATGTTAATATTGTTAATGTTAAACATAATGTACATGTACTAATGCTAACACTAAGGCCTTGCTTGATTGCCAAGATAAGATTAGTCAAGATAAGATTAAATAATCTAATGAAACCCAATTATTTTATTGGAGCTTGCAACGTCCAACAAAAAAACTCATTAGAAGGCAAGATAAGGCAAGATAAGCCATGATTATATAATTTTGGGGGGTCGACCCGGCAATTTATTGGGATACCAAACATCAAATTAAATCCGATTATTTAGTTAATCATGGCTTATCTTGGCAACCAAACGGGGCCTAATTGTAATATTAATGCTAATTGATACGCGTAAAACCTACGTATAAATAACCGCAAGTGTACAGTATCGCGTTTTGCAGAATAGTGAATTCCGGATATCGATCCACAGGGAATTAAGTTCCTAAATCTACCAAGTACCGTAATTATACTATCCTAAACTTTATCTAGACGGGAGAAAAAGATGGGAGATGACATGAAGCCAAAAGGAAACAAAAATAAAAACAACGGTCCGCCAGAACAAGCGAAGAATTATGACGTGTGATGGCTTCTAGGGTAAAATTCACCAATGTACTATCGATAAAGATCTACAAATCCGAATCTAATGTCAATTCTATATTCGCTAACCCAGACACTAAAGTACCCTAACCCCCGTCTCCAGTGCAGTTAGAGTCTACCCACAGGTCCGACGTCTCCGTTCAGAACCTGATATTAAGAGAGCATTTAGGTCAAGTCCTTAAGGGCTACCCGAGGTGCATCACGTCTCCGTTTCCACAACCCGAGCTATGTTTTCCTAAAATCAAATGAGAAATCCTCTCTCGAGTTCATTCCCATTTACAATCAATTCAACTGTTGGCCAAACAATCGAAAGCATTTAATACAGGAAAACATAAACAGAATCAAAGAACGACAAATAGATCACAGATCTAGAAATCAAAATCAATATATACAAGGTTTCATTTCCCTAGAAGAAAATGCTCAGTTCATTACAAACATAGCATCCAAATGAAGTACACGAGAAATTATAAACTAAACGTAAAGAAAAGCTTATGAAAAACCCGAGTCGAAACCCTCGTCGAAGTTTCCCGCAAAGAACTGGCGAAAACCGAAGCAAAAGTTGAAGCCGGAAGTGTTTTTTGCTTCTAAATGGAGAGGAAGCTTGTTCTATTTATAGGGGGCTTGCAAAAACACAAATATCTTGCCTCGAAAATTGTGCACCGCCATGCCAGATCGCGATCCATGAATGTGGATCGCGATCTGGATCTTGACCCATTTCAGCTCTGTCGGACCCCCCAGATCGCGATCCGACTTCCTGGATCGCGATCTGGATCTTCAATCATTTCAGCTCTGTCGGACCCCCCAGATCGCGATCCGGAATGCTGGATCGCGATCTGGGCTTCTGCGCCATCTTCAAACACTGTTTTGACCCTTTTTTAGCCCGAATTTGACAATTTTGCATTTCACAAAAGTTGTAGATATTGAAGTTAGCTTTCTAAGGCCACTTGAATCAGCTCAATCGGAGGTCGTATGAAAGAGTTATGCTGGAAATACGAAACAGTGCCACAATCCGCGAGAATGCACTTTTGCACGTGTTTGGTTTGATTTTCGGCTTCGCTTCCAAAATCGTTTCGAATCGGCAAAAATAGCTTCTCTTTACCTAAAATATAAATAAAACAAAAACAACATAATACATACAAATAAAGCCGAAAACTCGGACGAACGAAGACCAAAACTCGAAGAATTGATAAGTGAAAATCATGCAAAATGAACACTTATCACTAATCTGGATATGTTAATGCCTATCGTAATTGTAATCCTAATATTATCCAAATCCTTATCCTATTCCTAATCATATTCATTACACTAATCCTAATTATAATCCTAATCCGATTAGTATTCCTAACACTAGTTATAATTCTAATCATAACCCTAACAATTTTAATACTACTAATGCTAATATTAATGCTAATGTTAATTCATATTATAATTCTAATCTTAATTATGATCATAATCCTAATCCTAATGCTAATTATAATCCTATTACTAATACATGTCACTAATTGTAGTAGTACTAATCATAATTATAATCTTGATTAAAATTATAATACTGATATTAATCATAATCCTAATCCTAACCCTAATATTAATTCAATTCATTTACCCGTATTTGTTGAGTAACATGTATGATCCAGATTATTTTCAAGGGAGAGCAATTCTTGCACCAACTAATGAATGCGTCGAGTCTGTGAACGATCACTTAATGTCTCTCCTTCCAGGAAAAGAGAAGGTGTACCTGAGCTCAGATAGTATGTGTAGGGACGAGCAAACAATGGAGGATAATGCAGAAATTTATTCGACTGAATTCTTCAACACAATAAGATGCTCCGGACTTCGTTCTCATGCGTTGAAGTTCAAGGTTGGTCCACCCGTTATGCTAATAAGAAACATCGATCAAGGTAGATGATTGTGTAACGGGACCAGACTTCAAATTATTAGAACTGGCATTCACGTTCCGAGTTGCAAAATTATTTCCGGAAAAAATATCGTTGACATGGTGTTCATTCCTCGGATGACTTTAATACCATCTAACTCCGGACTGCCAATTAAATTTCAGAGAAGACAGTTTCCGTTGATTGTTTCTTTTGCAATGACAATCAATAAAAGCCAAGGTCAAACTCTTTCGCATGTTGGTTTGTATCTTCCTAGGCATGTCTTCAGCCATGATCAACTATATGTTGCACTGTCAAGAGTTACGAGCAGAGGTGGCATTAAGATATTCATCAAGTCGGATTCGGGTGAATTCACCGATGTTACTAGAAATGTCGTGTACAAGGAAGTATTTCATCGAATTTGAAGATACAAACTATTTTCATATTTACCAATTATTCATGTAACATGTCTTTGGCAGGTGTTTCTTCTCTATATAATTTCCCCCGTGCGATGTTATTTTCAGTCATGTCCCTAGGATGCTCAGTGCAAATCTTATTATCTTTAAGATTTATTTTTGACGATATACTAATATTTAATATTATTCTTATGATGTAACTATGAAGAACATGATACTTAAAACATATTTTTAAAATTGCTGGTCGCGTTTTGTATTTAAATTCAATGGGCGTAATAATTTATATATGCGTAAATTTGTTTTTCAGACATGTATTTCCAGTTGAAAATATGCCGCCCCGTGCATCTCACGGGTGAATACTAGTTATAATAATATGTTAATCCGATCCTAATCCTAGTATTAATTTTAATACTAATTCAAATAATATTAATTATAATCTTAATTCTAATGCTAATTCTAACCACAATCCTAATTCTAATTTTGCATAACTGGTTTTTGCAATGATCTATTATTTTATATAAAGAACAATTCTATGCAATCTCGCAACCTTTATATCAAATTTATTATGTGTGGTAGCTCAACCATCAAAAAGTACATATTAAATATATTGAAAATTAATATTTAATTATATTATCAAACTGACATTTAAATTTGTTTTAAAATATTATAAGGGTATAAGCAAATGTTAAGACGTAAAAAGAACAATATCGCTGTTAATAGGATAAATTACGAAAATCCTTCTGAACATAGGCTAAATTACGGAAAACACCCCCACTTATTGATAATTACCGAAATTCCCCTGACGTTTGTTTTTGTCTTACACAACCCCCTCATGGCGTGATTTTTTACGGAACCTTTTTTATTCCATGTAATATCCCAAAAAATGTGGATTCTAACCTTGCAGGCGTGACATTTATTTTATCCTACGTTTTAAATACAAAAATTACCTTTAAGGGAGGTAATGGTAATTCTAAAAAGTTGTGAATGAGTTATTTAAGAAGAATAAAGATTTCGTGTAAAGCCCCATGAGGGTATTTTTTCTCTTTAAAAAGTACCATAAAGAAATGTCGCTTGTGCAAGGTAGAATCAGCATTTTTCGGGGACGTAATAAAAAAAATATCCGTGAAAAATCATACCGTAAGGCGTTCGATGTAAGACGGGAAAAAACATCAGGGGAATTTTGGTAGTTACGAATATGTGGGGGTATTTTTTCTTACATTTGCCTAAGTTGAGGGGGTTTTCGTAATTTATCCATGTTAATAACTAACTTAAATTGATTTGCACGTACGACCATATGCTTATACAAATAATAAATGGAAAAATAAAAAAGTAATTGATTTTTTGTGTGTAAATCAGTCGAATATATTGTGATTTCAAAAAAACATACAAATATAGAATCGATATTAGATTCTTATAAACATTATAAAATAAATAATTTTATTTTACAAATATTTTAAAAATGTAAATTAACGAAATAAATATATCTTATTATATATGATGGGGAAATAGAAAACTTACGCATATTTCACTAATTTAGATACATAACTTGTAAGTTACACAAAAGAACTCATGTATTCCAATACCATATAGTGAGATACATACTATGTAAAAATATTTAATAATCAATTATTTCGCTATAATACCCTACATTAATATTTTTATTTTTCTATGGTTTAAAATTTTAATTTCAGAAGTGTGTGTGGGGGTTGGTGTAAAACGGAAACAAACATCAGGAGAATTGTGGTAACTACGGATAGGTAGGGTTGTTTTTGTAATTTACACTAAGTTCATGGCGTTTTTGTAATTTATTTACCCCAGTTAATATACAACTTAAATTGATTTACTTGTATGACCATATGTTAAGTGAACTAACAACAAAAGTCCTTATATAAATAATAAATAGAAAAATAAAAAATTAAGTGAACTTTTGAGTAAATCAGTCGAATTTATTGTGATTTCAAAAAAGTAGAGATATAGAATAAATATTAAATTCTTATACACATTACAAATTAAATAATTATATTTCACAAATATTTATAACACGGAAATTAACAAAATAGATATATTTTATTTTATATGATGTGAAAAAATCAATTACGATTATATGATTTGAAAATTAAGAAATTATATATAGTGATGATTTGGAAAAAAATCACAACGGCGATTTATAGGGATTTCATCTACACGCATTTTCAAAATTTCTTTAGAATTTCCAAGAAAAAAAATTATATTTATTACTTGACGTTCGGTAGATAATAAAAGTAAAATGATATGTAAATAATTAAATAATAAATGACAACTTGTTATGCCATAGGTCAAAGATTTAAATTGCCAAATGTCAAGCAATTGATGGTGAAATTCATCTTATGTAGATTATATCTTATATATAAAAGAAAAAAACGTTGGCCAATTCTAAAAACCCTAATGATTTTTCTCTAATTATTTATTTTTAATATTTTTTTATCTACTAATTTTCTAACTATAATTTTCAACAATTATTAATCTCCTATTCTTCATCAATATATCTCAATCTTAAGAGATACATATAGAAATTCGATTTGTTAAATCTTAATATGAAACATTTATAATACTACATTATTAAATAAACTACGTTACTATACTATATTATCTTATTATATATAAAATTGATTATTCTTTTTTACTTTAGAAATAATATCCCGTGCATGGCACGGGGAAAAAAATGTTAGTATCGATTAAAGAAAATATATTTTAGAGTTAAATACAGTTTACACCCCTAATGTATACCTTATGTAATACTGACCACTATAAAGTATCATTTGTAACACTTACCCGCCTCAAGCTCAATTTAATTTATATTTTAAATTCTAATACTGAAAATTTTATTTTTAATGTAAAATTATAACTAAAAGAATAATTAAATTATATAAATAAAATATCTGTTTAAAAATGTAATATTTGAAAATTTAAAAATATTATCTTGGATTGTTGGGTACATATTTAATAAATAAAATCTAATTATTCGACCAATTAATCGAATATATTCATATCGATAAATTTGAACAATCAATACATAAATAATAGTAATCTTAAGTATTTAAATTTATTTTAGTTCATTAATTTCTTAAAATTTATTTTTATTTATTATTATACACTATATATTACTTTTTATTTTTTTCCGATAATTTAGTTGTAGTAACTTTTCAATATTTTTTTATCTAATAATTATTAGATTGTTATGTTTATTATATTTGAATTTTAAAATATAAAATATCTAATTTTGAGGGGGTAAGTGTTTCAAATGATACTTTAATGGGGTAAATGTTGCATAGGCTATACTTGAAGGATGCAAAGTGTATTTAGCCTTAGATTTTACGATATAATATTTAATCCATAATAAAAAAAATGACGGGCAAAGTTGAATAAATAGATTATTATATTGTAAATTATTACACTAACATAGATAATTATAAATATGAAATTAAATAAAGTCAGTAAAAAAATGATTGTATATACGTGATAACATGAACCAATGTCACCAACGGTAAGCAAATGAAATGTTTAACTGGTTAACAAACATGAAAATATATATTATGAAGATTAGTAAATCTTTAAAAAATAGGAAGAAAAAAAAACTGGACAAAGTCAATCAACAACTAAACAACGTTAAAATTACACGTAAAATATGTTAAAATAACTTTAATTTCGAAAATTTGAAATGTTATGTTTATGTATTATGAATATTCCAAAATATTTAAAAAATCGGAAGAAAAATAAAACTGAACAAAGTGAAGCAACAACCACTCCAAGCAACCAAATAAAAGAAACAATGGGTACTACCAGAATAAAATCTCCATCTAAATGGATATTATCTCATTACTAAACAAAATTAAGCACAATAAATAAAAAAAAAATGAGTACAATCATAAGAAAATTACAATGGTACGTACATTCTTAACAGTTTACAAAATGTATGTGTGTGGGGTGGGGGGAGGGGGATAAAATGTAACAATTATGAAATACGAAATTGAAAACAAATATCCCACGCTTGGAAGATTAAAAAAAGTCGAACAATATACTGAGCATTTTCGCATGGCTGAAAAGTAATGATGGAATGAAGAGAATATTAAGGTAAATATTAAAAAATAACGAAAGAACTAAATAACATAATCAATAAAAATTATGAAACCAATTACAAAAATGAAGCGATTGAAACAAAACAAAAGGCACATTGCCATACATTTTTGTTCGAATGAAAAATAATGGTGGGATAAAGTGAATCGGTAGGGAATTTATATAATTGTCTATGAACGATGAAAAAAGAAACAATCAATTAAATAAGGTAATAATAAAAAAACATTAAATACAATAAAAAGATTATACATTTTTTAATGGGAAGAAATATTTTAGATCTTATTCTACAAGATATATGTCAAAGTATAATTGCATAGATATTATTACACTTTAAATCCTATCATTTATATATATATTAGAAACGCGTGAAGTTAAAAAAAATCTGATTTATTAAATGTGATTGCCATGTTTTGAATTTTGATTGCTAATTTCCATATATACTAATAATAATATATTTAAAGTTAATAATTATGGTAAATGACATGTACAATTATACACAATGATGACATGTTTTTTCATAATTTTTCATAACCAATCAAATGGACACATGGGATGAAATTAATGACATGTCATCAATTTGAAATTGACAAATGTCAATCAATTAGGTGTGGAATTCAACTTTTATATATTATATAGATAATTTATTAAAAAAACATAAAAAAATAATAATAAAAAAATAAAATACCCGAGTTGAACAGGTCCAATTGTGACCCAAATGTCTATCATGTTTTGTGTCCGATCCGGTTCTAACAACATTGCAATTAACCATATAAATAAAAATTACAATTCATGAATCAAGAGTGATCAACATCACAAAAATTGCACAAGAATTTTCTATAATTAAAAGAGGACAAAACACTCATAAACGAGAAAACATATTTCTTAAACAAAACAAA